TTAAAGACAATCTTTGTGATGAGCAACGCCTCCGGTTTGGTGAATTTGTCATGCACCACAGGAGGAAGTGCCGCGGCAACATTTTCATCAACTGTATTGTCAGTTTCCTCAGGATTTTCACCAGAAACATCAACAGTCTTGCTAGGAGTGACGAAACTATTGTCTGCGGGTGTAGTTGAAGGCATAATATGAGCTTAGTTGGTAGAACTGCGAAGCAACTTGTTAATCGTCAGTAACTCATAGAGTGTCTAGATGAACGTGATGAATGATGTGATGTATGAGGACATACGGACAGACGATCTAGTAAGTCGTAAGACGACTAACTCGATCCTGACATTCATTCAGCCGAGAGTTGTATGCACTGAGTGTCCAGCCAAGATAGAAACGGATCTCCTGGCCAACTGTCAGATCCTCAACGAAGCCCCTGAAGTTAGATTGTTGTGTTGTCCTATGAAGCTGCTCCGCGCAGCTGGCTTCCACTTCGTCCTCGTGCCATGGTTCAGTTTTTTATACGATGATTGATAGGTCAATAGTGACGTACTCTCTACAGACCGTTGGTCATCCGGCCAGACTTCCAACGTACTTCTAGCAGACGCTGCATCTTACGCTCTTTTCAACAGACGCTTTTGTTATACTCCTATCGGTTACTCAATATTCCAGGCCTAACTATTATTTGCCCTCCTAAGTACTTTGATCGGTACTGAATATTTCAGCACCGTTACTGAATATTTCAAGCCAAAGCTTGGCCAAACCAAGACTAGATAGTGCACCTAAAACCAGTATTCTAATGCTCACAATTTCATTATCAACTGATATCAAATCCCTTTGATCTAGGTTAAGTCATAGTGAATTCACTTCGCAAAGATCTATTGATCATCCCTTTTACAGTCCACGAATTAAACCAAACTTACTCAACATAATGAAAGTTATCATCAACGGTACTGCCTTGACTTGGACCAGAACCCAAAGCACGATGCTCCAATTCCGCCTTACCTAGGCGGAAAGTTATCGAACCAAAAATGATGCATGCAGCGTGAATTTTTCCACGCTGGACAGTTACTTCCGGGCACCCCCCTTGAGCTGCATCCATTTTGGCTCGAGCTGGACGATTGTCCATGCATGGTGCATTTTGAAATCGAACAATTCTGATTGGCCAAATCTCAATTAGGTTTCGACAGCCTCAACTCACAATTCACATCAAAATAAAATAAAAGACTTCACATTGCACTTGATCTTCTGTTTTTTTCACTAGTTTATCATGACGAATGCCGTGTCAATTCTTGCTCTAGACATTCTAGCCTCCCATAGCAAGGACGATAACACTTGTGACAATGTTGGTTTGAACAAACGAAAAAGCAACGTTGGTTTGAACAAACGAAAAAACAGCACTTTTGAAATCTAGCTAACCTCCTTGTTCTTCTGGTATCTAGCACTACCCTTTTCTTTTCATCGGTAAACTCGCAAAATAACAATACAATTAATCAATAGATGGCTCCAAAACAAAGTCTCCACGATACCAATCTGGCAGCACAACAAGAGAGAGAAAGCGGAACTCCTTCCTTTCGCCAGGAGTTGTAGTGCTAAGCAAGAAGAAGAAGGTGAAACTAATGGAAGAACAGGATGAAATGCGAAGAAAAAGTGCTGCCAAGAAGAAGAAGGAAAAGGAGGATAGGAATAAAGAAAAGGAACAGACGAAGGAGGGAGGAGCGATTGAAGGAAGAAGAAGCCGTCTTGATGAAACAGAAAGAGGCAACGGTAGCCTATTGGGCGAATAAGGTAGCTTCCAAGAGGGGAATTGTTGCCAATCTATGTTATCCGACAATTCTAAGTTATCCAACAATTCCAAGTGTGGATACGTTCAATGCAAAGCAAGTCAAGAAGAAGAAGGCGTTGCAAGTCCAAAACGAATGACAATCCTTACCATTCGGATGAACGATTTCCTGATGGGGAATACTATGAGGCTCAAGAAACAGTTGTCAAGGCGTACATGTCCATGAACAAACTTGTAAGATTCTTTGGTTAGAAACCAAACTACTAGTATATAGTATAGTATACTACAACAATTTTAGTCACCATTTCTTAGTCCTATCATTTCAATTACAGTATTCCTATAGTAGTTATCTCTCTTTGACACGATCAGGGCGGACCAGTCCCAATTCTTTGCCAACCCCTGCTTGTCTGCTTGCAGTGTCAAAGTCCTCTGACATTTCGTCAGCTGATTTGTCAGCTGATAGGTTGGATTTTTGGATTTCTTGCTTGTCAATGAAGGCAATGCTGGAGCCGCGATCATAATGAAGTAAATGAAACGCATTTGGCCGCGTCACTCATTGCTTGAACATTCAGGCCATAGCAGTCGTAAACTCAAGTAAACTCAATTGCTTTTGATATCCTGCCTGTTTGGCTTGGTTGCACATGGCAACCATTCATAAAAAGGATCCTTTTGCAGTAGGAGACAGCATATTCCAATAGTCCATTGCATCTCCATTTCTTCATCGACTGGAAGAATCCAAGCTTGAGGGATCGGATGACATGATGAGCAGTGGGGCGCTATCAAACCAGAGGAAATGAGCAGACCGCGGTGTACTGTAGAATGGTATTTTCCCAAAGAAAGTGTAGAGAAGTAATTGGTACACGACCAATGTGACTACCATATGGGTGAGGTGCATGCACGCACGATTGTTCCAGTTTTGCGCTATCAACTTTAAAAACGCGTGCAGGGTGCAGCAAAAAAATCGAAATGCACTGCACGCTGCACGCTGGACGCGAAACGTGGTTCGATAACTTCCCGCCTAAGAATAACGCGCGAGAAAACTCCAAACGCCAGCCACACAAATACCGCGTGGGTGATTTGGTCCTCCTTGATCGCGGCGAATTGCAACAAAAACTCCTGCCCAAACGAACAGGTCCATATCAAGTACTCCGTGTCTACGACAATGGCACAATCAAACTACGACGTGGCTTCTATACACAACGCGTAAGTCTCCGACGATGCCTTCCTTACTACACCCCCATCAACGCTTGATTCCGCCATGGAAGCGAATGACGTACTCTTTACAGACCGTTGGTCATCCGGCCAGACTTCCAACGTACTTCCAGCAGACGCTGCATCTTACGCTCTTTTCAACAGACGCTTTTGTTATGCTCCTATCGGTTACTCAATATTCCAGGCCTAACTATTATTTGCCCTCCTAAGTACTTTGATCGTTACTGAATATTTCAGCACCGTTACTGAATATTTCAAGCCAAAGCTTGGCCAAACCAAGACTAGATAGCGCACCTAAAACCAGTATTCTAATGCTCACAATTTCATTATCAACTGATATCAAATCCCTTTGATCTAGGTTAAGTTAAAAATAGTGTGAAAAATTCCGTTGGTGAGTTTCTCCGTGACGAACAATATTTTTGATTCGCCTTTTTGAATTGCAGTAACCTGGATATGGCACCAGCTCCCGTCGCGTACCGTATGTAGAAACTGTCGACGCAAGCAAATGGTTTGACCAAGATTATGTGAATTTTTGCCACCATGTCGCAGTTGACGACATAAACAAGCACATTATATTTACCAAAAGACACCGGCACGGTCAGTCTGACCTCCACCTCCAACACAACGACTACACCCGGCTTGCTCGCAGAAATACTGCTCGCAGAAACAGCGAAGACAAAATTTACACATCACACATCACCAGATAAAAAACATCACCACCAGAACGCACTGTTGCTGTCCTTTTGTTTTGTGTTGTGCGAACCCAACCCGTGAACAAGCTGAATCTTCCTTCTTCTTTCATTAGTACTAGCCAGTGGCACTTCCAATTCCTCAGAGAAGGGTTCTTCCTTCATCCGCTTCTGCATACTGAGCTTTTTACATATCTGTTCCTCAACTTTCATTGCGCAGAGTGACAAACAGTATGTAGCATAAAAGCTTCATTGTGTCGTGCCAAGTCCTCGCTTT